TATCGGTGGAAGCTTCTCTCCCACAGCTCTCCGTGTCCTCCTCCAGCAGTCTGCTCACAGCTACACCTCTCTCTGTGCATTTTGGGGGCGTCCCGCCCCCCCTTCTGCCTTTGTGTTCTTGGTGCTCACCGAGCTCCCCAGCACTTGTCTGTGTGTAGCTTCCCACCACCACGGCTTTCTGACTCACTTAGCTCCTGGCTACGGGGTCCTGGCATTGGTTGGGGTGGTCCCCTTCCAGTTTGGGTCCTGTGTCTAGAATCGGGAGCCGGGCTTTCTTTTCTACACTGTGCTCGCCGGGCCAGCCTCCTCTCAGGCTTCCCTGGCTGCACATGTGCAGGGACTGCGCTTCCCTTGCCTTCCTTTCCTCCCCCTCCTCCCTCTAGTTCTTCTTCCCCCACGGCCACCCAGTTCCTGCTGGGCTTCCCCCTGTGCTGGGCCTTAGATGAAACCAAGAAGTCACTAAAGCAAGAAGACAGGTCAGGTAAATTTGTGCCAATCCTTTATTGTGTAGCAGAAGAAAGGGCCATTCAGTCTCAGAAACCTTATTGACCAGCATACTGGTACTCTTGATGTTATTGTTGATTTTTTAAAATGCCCTCTTAGTTCTCATTGGGACTGCTCTGGATGGGGACCTCTTCTCCACTTACTTGTGTCCTGTCTGTCCAGTGGGGTTGACAGCACTTCCGGTTTCATCAGTTTGTCGTGCTTTCGTTACCACTCAGCTCACTAGTGGGAAAGTGCAAACAGGTGTCCAGCGCAACTTTGGCATTCCTGGAACGGCTTCTTTATTTTAGGGGGAGGGTAATTAATACATGTGCCAATCACTAATTCACCCTCAACCTTTCCAGACTGCCTCCCATCCAGGTGTCTCCTCAGTCCCACCCTTTTGAATTGATGCCTTGCCTGGCTCTTGGCTGGGCTGCCGTGTGCCCTTTCCCACCTGCTCCCCTTGTCTTGGACCCCAGGGGTTCTTGTCCTTCTCGCTGCTCTCCCCCTGTCTTAGTGACACACTGTCTAGCTGCTTTCTGTGAGAAGGGTCCAGAGGGGGTGCATCCGTGAGACTTCTGCTTCGGAGGGCAGGTCAGAAAGCACTGCTACAAGGTCACAGGCACCTGCCCTAGGCCGAATTCTCCAAACACGAAGCTGTTGCTTCTCTCATATCCTCCACTCAGCTCTCTTAAGTTTCTGCAGGCTCTGTTTCTATCTCGGGCCCTCCCCTGAAGGATTCCGCAGTCATGGATTGCACACGCCAGACTGCAGCTTGGCATCCAATTGTTTCTTTCCATGCTCTTGAGTTTGAGGAATAAAAGGAGGTCTGAAGGGGCAAGAGCCGGTGGAGGGGAGGGTGAGTACAGTTGCCTAGTTGTGTGAGTCTGGGTAGACTAGAGAAACAAATTCATAGACATGTGTATGAGAGAGTTTTATATAAGGGTAATTGTACATTAAAGCATCCCAGCCCAGTCCAGTTCAGGCCCATAAGTCCGATATTAGCCCATATGTCTGATACCAGTCTATAAAGTCCTCTTCAGACTCATGAAACACATGCAATGACGCTGAATGCAGGATGATCACAGGCCAGTGGGTAGAAAGTCTCTGGATCCAGTGGCGCTGTAAGCATCTCTGCGCTGGCAGGGGTCTCTGCGTGGCTTCTCCAGCTTCAGAGGTCTGTTTGCATCGAGGTAGGTTCATGTGGCTTCTCCAGCTCAGGATACTAGTGTAGTTCCATGTGTCTTGTCAGCTGCAATGTCTCTGAGGGAGTGCAGAGATTCCCGCCTCCAAGGAGGAAAAACCAGATTTCCCAGCATTCTCAGGAGAAAGCCATGCCCACACAGAGGTCTCATTGGCTGTTTCCAGATTGGCAGGCTAGACTCCACCCCTACACTCTTAATCCTCAAATTGACCCCAGATTAGGTGACTGCCACAGGAGTGAAATGCTCTCAGGACCATCACTGCTCCCCTCAGAGAATGAACAGGCGCATTGTTACGACGGAAAAAATCCCTTGGTGCAACTTGCTGGGTAGTTTTTTAACTTTGGAGTTTTCCATTTTCCATCTTCTTCCAAAGGAGACCCTGGTGATCATCCTGTGGCCTTTGAGAAAATCTATTTGGGTCACCTCTTTGGAGTTCCCAAAAAAGTCACCATCACCTTCTGACCTGACCTCCCTGCCCTGAATGGAACTGGCTCAGCAGACACCTTAATGAGACGAAGAGGACTTTCCTGCCGTCGTCTGCTGGCCGCCCGCCGAGGCCTGTGTGAGCACGTTTGGTTTGGGGAAACCTGTGCCCTTGTCAGCCAGCAGTGCTCGCTGACGTCCCTGTAGGCATACTTGACTGTGAGGCAGGGTAGTCGCCTGGGCTTCTTCAGGCGCTATACTTTCGCTTTCTGCTTTCTAGTTTACACCGGAGAGATTTGAAGCTTGCCTGGTTTCTGGACCTTTGTACAGGACGGAGCTTCTCTTCTGTGAACTGGCAGGGCCTCTCGCTAGAAGCTGACTTCAGGAATTTGGGGAGGATTCTTTTTGATCCCTCCTTCCTCTGCTCCCTGGTTACTTGGGTGTTGGATGCTCCAGCTGGACGTCGAAGTTTCTTTTATCTTCTCTACTGTAGCTTCCAGCCTTCCTGCTAGCTTTCACCTTTTGCTGGGGTGGGGGGGGGTTTCACTTCCAAGAGCTCTTTGGACTCTCTCCCCCTGTCTGCAGGACCCCTGGTGGCACAGTGGCTTGAGAGCAGCCCCAGAGATGTGAGGCCAGAGTTCTCTGTCTTGCCCAGGAACCGTGGATTTTTTGACACCAGGAGGGACCCAGCCTAATGGCCCATGTGGGCACAGGTGCTCTTGTAGCAAACACGCACACTAAGGCGTGTGGGCCAAAGGACGCTGGAGGGCCCTCATGCTGGCTATGGTCGCCATGTGGAAACAGTGGGCAGGGAGGCTTCCCATGCCATCCACAAGATTGAAACGATTGGAAAACAGGGTTTTGACCGTGAGGCCTCGGAGAGGAAACAGCGGACTGGAAGTGGCTTGGTGGAGCTGGGGCTGTGGGCTTTTCAGGACTGACCTGGGGGATTCCAGCTCAGTGTGTCCAGCACCTTTCTCAGTAAGTCGGGTCACTAAAGGCACTTGCAGTGGCCCACCTGGTGAGGAGAGGTGGTGTTTGCTGGCCGAGGCCCGGCACCCAGGAGGGCTGGGCAGGCGTGGCCTCATTCAGTCCACAGGTTATGCTAGCTCAGACTTCCTGTTAGCATCTGGGTGCCTGCTGAGGTGGGGAAGGGGGTGGACTCTGCCAGAAGGGCATGAAGAACAGCAATAGAGGGGATAGGTCAGTCGAGTTGCCACTCCCCAGTGTGTGAGAAAGCCATCTCAGAAGCAGAAACGAGGGGCTCCTGGCACCGTCTGGAAGAGCACCCAGCAGAGTCTATGCCACACTGGGTCCCGGTGGCCACACACGGAGTAGTGCTGGACCAGGAGACTGGTTTAAGTTGCCCTAGTGGAGTCTCCATCCCCAGGGGTGGGTGGCTTCAAGCTAGAAGGTGGGGACTGGAGCTCACTCACAGGTGCCTCTGCAGAGAAGCCCCACAGCCTGTCCATGGGCAGGAAGTCAGCCACAGAAGGCCCTGACGAGCACAGAGGTCCTCTGATACAGAGGGGCGGCCAGGACACCTCCTTGGCTCGGGGTTGAGTGGGTATGAAGCTGGGCCTTGATTGCCATTTTCTTGGGTATCTTTGCTGCTGACGTCCTATGCTTGCCACCTCCCACACGGGGAAGTTGCCCTCCTCAGTGTCCGCAATGTAGACCCTGGCGTTCCCTCACCAGCCTGAGCAGTCAGTGACAGACCTTTTAAAGACAGGAAAACGGACTGTGTCTGAGCTTACTTCCCATGCCTTACATACACACCTGGATGGATGCCAGATGTGAGAGCTGGGGCTTCCCAGTGCACCTGTGTTCAGGGAGGGAGAGACACACTGCAGAGGTGGTATGGGACCAACATGGGGCCTGGGAACATTGCAGGCTAAATGGCAGAGGGAGGGGTGGGGGAGGAGGAGAGAGTGAGCGAGCGTGCGTGCGTGCGTGCGTGCGTGTCTGGCACACCTGAGACACGGCATGGCCAGGCTGAAGTCACTCTCTTCCTGTGACGGCAATGACCGCTGCTATCTGGAACTGGCATGGTGATTTAAGCAACCCTTCAGAAGATCATCTATTCGTTTTCATCTGTAGGTTCCCAAAATGCAGAGGTGTAAAATGCCGTTTTCAGAAGGAAACAACCTTCTCTTCCTTTTTACCCGGGATTGCTATTTTTGTGGGTGACTCATTTGGTGTGTTTTACAGGCAGTTAAGCATTGTGGCTCTGTATTCTTTTCTCAGAGGGAAGGTGGGGAGTTGGGTCACAAAGTGGTATGAGCACCGTGGAAGCATGGAATTGGGTGCCCAGTGTGGGTGCCAAGGAGGCGGCCACAGAGGTGCTTTCTGACTCTGGGCCACACCCTGTCGGCAGAGTGAGACTTTGCTGCCCAACCAAGTGAGCAGGGGAGGGCCTGGGAAGACCGCTTCTCTCCTCTGCGCACACCACGGTCTAACGTGGGAGACCACCTTGGCTGCAGCTAGTTCTTCAGTGGCCTTAACCTTCTTGCATGGGTCCTGGGCAGAGCTATGCTCATTTGAAAGTATCCCCGGGGGCTACTTGGGGATGTTTGTAGGAAAGCCCTTTTCAATTAGGTTTGGTGTTCTGAAGCCCGGGCCCTTCGAAGCTGGCCCTCTGTTGGATAAAAAGAGCATTGCTGTCCTCACAGGACAAAAGCGTGTTTGTTTCCCCTCACTGATGGCACCGTGATGGTGTCTGTATATTATTTCTGGGTTGTCATTTAGCTGAGGGCTAAAGAATGTCTGTTTCTCTGTAGAAAAATCCGCAGTGGAGTGAGCCCACCACACCCCCACCCCCTCCTGCAGGCAGAGCAGGCTCTGATGTCTGATGGTATCTGCTTTCCCTACAGGAGACCTGTTCCCACCCTGTGCCCATCCTTCTGCTCTGCTCATGCAGTAACTTGGGAGACAGCTGCTGCCTGGATAACCTGTGATGGGCAAGGAGCCACACAGAAGACATTTCTTTTAATTTTTAACCTTTGGTTTGCAAGGTAGGTATGGGACACCTCACCCAGGTGAGCAGAGCCGCCCGTGAAGCCCAGAGAGGGAGGGGAGGGCTAGTTTTGTTTGTGTTGCTGATTTAAACCAACCAGAGCACGCTGGGCTTCTAGCCAGCCACCGGCTGCTTTTAAGTCCTAATTGCTATTGCTCTGGGACTCTGGACTGGAACTTTTTATTGAGGACGAGAGGCTGACTTGTATTTCACTTTCGGCTCAATTGGCACTTACGAGGAGGTGGACCAGCAGGGTCTTGGTGGGACATGCTCTCCTGCTTAACTGGATTTCATGGTGAGACAAGCCAGGCCATCACCTTGCCCCGCTGGTTACATTCCAGACCCTTTGGTCCTGTTTTTATTGTTTTCATTTCATCTGCTCACTTACAGACCTCAAGCTCCACCCTCCTCTGATATTCTGGTCCTTCCACTCTCGCCCCACGTTACTCTCCTGGGCGAACTCCTGCTCCTCTGTGGCTGACTTCATCCCTGCCAGGGCTCAGCTCTTTCGGCTGCTTCGATGTAGTGGTTACACATGGACTGCCAACCACACAGCAGTTTGAAACTACTAGCCACTCCTGCAGAGAAAGAGAAGGGTTTCTACTATAAAGAGGACTAGCCTTAGAACCCTACAGGCGTCCTACCATGTCATCTGTTGTGAGTCAGGGTCGACTTGATGGCAGTGATTTGGTTCTGAGATTCTGGATGACTCCAGCTCCTCTAAGAGTGCTTAGGAGTGAAATGACCTTGGGACTTTTCCTCTCTGGCCGGACTGTGCAAGAGCCCTGGTGGCACATCGACTCTGGCAGTGGGTTTGCTCTGGGAACCACTAGAAGCGCTTGGACTAGGAATTTTGGCATCTCCTTGATAATGCCTAGAGTTGTTACATAAATAACCAGCCAACCCAACAAACCAACCTGCTGCCTTTGAGTTGATTTGTGTCTTGTAGGGACCTTATATAGGGTTTCTGAGACAGTAAATCTTAACAGGAGCAGACAGCTCCATCTATCTTCCTGAGGGTAGCTGGTGGTTTTGAACCGCCGACCTTGTAGTTAGCAGCTGAACCTACTGTGTCACATAGTGGGCGTTTCTCAGAGTGATATAGTTCAGGCTTTTCCCCTCTGTTGAGCTCCTTCTTGTTTTTGTTTTATCTGCTGGGGCCAGACTCCAAGCTTTGGCTACCTCAGAATAGTTCAGTGGTTCCTCTTTCCCCTAAGCTTGGTTCGTCAGCTGCCCCACACTGTTGGTGCACTGCCTTCACCTGCTTTCCTCGAACAGACTCCCGTGCTGCCTTCACCACCCACCAGGACACCAGGCGGCAGCGGGAGCAGAGGGGCAAGCACGTCGGCTCCCGCCTGTCCCCTTGGCTGTGTCCACAAGTAGTCCGTCATGATGGGTTCGCAGAGGGGCACCCCACTTCCTGGCAGGTAGTGCCTTAGACTCGGGCACCCCACACTTCAGCTGCACAGGCCCAGATGGTCGATATTTTAGGTTTGTGGGCAAGAGACCAAAATACTTAAGTAGATAGAGGATACTATGAAGGGACTTATGTAACAACTGCTTTTCATAGATTTTTTTTTTTAATTGATGAATTGCCGAATAATAACAGTTGAGATGAACTTTTTGGTCCTGCAGGTCTGTAATGAGGAAAATGGCAATTTTCCCTGCGTGTGGGGGGCTCAGATTGTGAGCTCTCTTCTTAACACCCTCACGTACAGCCCTCCGGCACGTCCGTCTCCAGATCTTCGCCTGGCGGGGGAGTGCTTTCAGCCTCAGCGAGGCAGCGCCACTCCTATCCAGAAGCAGTGGATGTGGCTTTAACTAGCCACACACAGCATGATGGGATTCTTTTCCACGCCTGTTTGTATTTGCCTTTTAGCTTGTTCGGACATTGCACGTTCATCGCCTCTGATAGCAGTTACGTGGTTTTGAAATTCAGGAATTTTCACATCCCTGGAGGCCTGAGAGATGCTGATTAACTGATTTGAGTTCAGAGACTCTCTCTGCAGCAGATTGGCAGGGGAGCGGAGATTGCACTCACTAATGTTAACGCTTGGCAGTAGGAAGCATATAAAACAACTGAGATGATGTGGGATTTCAACCAGGTCTGTTGTCGACATGGTATCACTGTTGTGGGGGCTCCCATTGGCCTGTCCCTTTTGCTGGTTGGGCATCAGAGCCAGTTCCACTTGGGCTTGGGACGAATTAGTGGTCTCTCAACTTTGAAGATGTTCCACTTGCTGCCAGTTCAATTCTTGCAGATTTTTCAGATGCTGCTGAGGACGGCATCTGAGCCCCACCCCAGGCAGACCAACAGGGGCGGCTTTGCTGCCCTCAGACCCGCGCCTAAGCCTAGGCAGCCAGCCTCTGCCCTTCTGGCAGCCTGGAGCGCCTCCAGCATTCGTGCTCGATGAGAACGAAGCTTGCAGACTCTTCACAGGCTAGTTTGCCGCGGCCCCTTTCTCTGTCAGTGGCAGTCAGGCCTGCTTGGATGGCCCCCAGCAGCTCATGAGGTACAGCTGAGTTTTCACGTGGGGAGGCAGCCTGTGCTTTGGGGAGTGGTTGGAAGGAGTGCTTTGCTTGGTAGGGTTGCCTGGTCCCGGGCAGCTCCTGCAGTTCAGGCGCTCTGAACATCGCATAGCAAGTGAGGCTTTTTGCCATCTGACTGCATCACAAACCACTCGCGCCTCCGTGCCCTGAAAGCACAGGGTTGGGCACAGTGGATCTTCTGTTTGGGCTGTGATGTGATGGGTGTGCGTGTGCAGAGATGGTGAAACCGTGCCGCTGTCTGACAGGAGGGACCCAGACAGGGACAACCACAATTCCTCGCTAGATAAGGGAGGTGTAGGCACTCGCTCCCGTAGGAGTTCCGTTGAAATTTGTGTGGACACTAGAATTTGAACCTCACAGACTCTTCCTGGGGCCATCAAATTGTGTTCTTTTTACTCCTCACACACCTACCCAGTAGACCATTTAAAAACCATGCTTGGCTGTGGGCAGGGAGGAGCAGGCAGCAGACCAGCCTGCTTGTGGGCTGTGGCCTCCTGACTTGTGAGCTACATGCCCGGGCTGCCCTGCTGAGCTCAGTTCCTCGGTGTGGGTGAGGCCTGAGGACGTCTGTCAGGAGACCCAAGTGTGTACTGAGTGGGAACCCATGCACACAGCTCTTATTCACCCTGACTTTGGTGCAAGAAAAGATCTTTTTAATGACTTAAAAGCCACACGTGCGCAGCAAGTCAAAGTGACTGATGACTTTGTTGCCAGTCGAACTAAAACACCCAATCCACTGCCCTTGCATTGATTCGAAACTCACAGGAACCCTTTAGGGCCGGGTCGGGCTGCTCCTTAGGGAGGGTGTCTGCGGCTGTAAATCTCTGTGGAAGCAGAAGGCTTCATCTTCCTCCCTTGGGACAGCAGGGGGTGAACCTTGTGCGAGTGCACCGAGCCACTGCTTACGTGGCCATCATGGGGGCTCCTTTTGGCAGGAAGGGTTCGTTCAACTGTTTCCACACAAAGACAAAGTCTGTTGTAGGGGTGGTTGGTGAGTCAGGCTCTAAGGGGGGGAGGGGGGGCCCTGCCTGTCGTTGTCTTTGAAAAAAAGTTATTTCTTGTTGCTTTGAAATGTTTACACCTTCCTTCAGGATGTCCACCTGTTTGGTGTAAGTGGATTCAGAGATTTTTCTGCCAATGCCATCCTTGTCTCAGTAATGTCTGCCCCCCGTGGCGCCCCTCGGCCCCCTCCAGGCCTGAAATTGGTAACTCCCAGGTGGCAGGGAGACAGGGCTATTCTTCATTGGAACACGGAACTGCCCTGTGAGGGTTTTGTTGTACGGTGGTTTGGTTAGTTGGATGTATTGCTTGCCTGCATGCACACATGAGCACGGAATACATTTCAGAGAGTGCGGCCACCGGCAGCGTCTGGTTCTGTGCTTGGCGGGCTACTGATGGCTCATAGCATCCTGAGTGTGTACTAAGGGCTGCCGCATTTTCTCTTTCACAGATTTCTACTTGGCCATACTGTTGGAGACAGAGACAAAAGTCACAAAGGATCGCAGGGTCATCATGTTGTTTCCCTCCCCACCCCTGCTACCTCCACCGTCTTCACTGCTTCCTCACTGGCTTCCATATTTCGCGACAGTGGTGTGGCGATGAGGGTGTAGGTCGTGCACGTGCAGTACTTCACGTCCTCCCACTCTAGCTGCGGGCAGCTCCTGGCGAATGTCAAGGCGGAAGGTTATGCTGTCAGGCGTCAGCGCAGTCATTTAAAGTGCTTGCATTCTTTGGTAGAGCATTTTAATTTCCCCAGACTTAAATCATTGCCTTTTTGGTGTCTTTCTATTAATTTTCTCCACATGCAGAATTCTTCCCAGTGTGGTTGGATAGATACATCAGGCAGCCTGGCTGCGTCCTCTGCTTGGGCAACTTTGCCGTCGGTGGACGGCTGTGCTGGGACCTGCAGTGGCTGTGAGCCTTAGAGGTGACTTTGCCGCTCGGCTGTGCTGGCCCCCCAGGTTCTTCACGTGACACTAGGTCAGCTCACCCCCATACCAGTTACTGGCCTGTGTGGGTGATGCTCGTCTCCTCGTAGCTCCCGAGAGAGCAAGTGTGAACAAGTCTTTCAGCCTCAGTGACCGAACGAACACACTGCTTTCTAGAATTGCTGCCAAGAAAAGTGATTGCACTCTCGTCTCCATTTTGAAGGAGGAGTCTTCTCTCTAGGAAAGGTGGCGTGCTGTGCTGTGTATACCTCACATGCCTGGGTTTTTACACTCAGGTGACGGCAGTGCCCAAGGAGGCAGAGTGGGGGGGACAGAAAAGGAGGGACACCTCCATGCTGAGCTTGCACCTACTCAAGGCATCGGTGGTGCTGTATGAAAGGGCCTGGCAATGGCATGGAGCCGGCCAGCATTTCCCTCCGCTGGGCATCAGGGCTGACTTTCAGTTCTGGAAGGCCTGGTTGGGTTGGTTGGTTTCTTGTCCGGCCTGTGGAGTTTGTGG